GAAGAAGGCCGAGAAGAACGAGTGTGTCGGTATTCAGATCAAAATTCGCCGCCGCCACCGTTAATTCACAGAGCTCGGTGAAAAAGGTGAGTTCGGATCCGGGTCCGGATCTTTTTTACCTGAATACACTGGAATCTGCTTTAGAGTTGCAACAAACACCATCAATTATTTGTTGTGGTGATGAGAGAGAAGGCTCCAACAAGAAACTCATCAAATCAGACCCCTCCTCCTTTGCTGAAATCTCCACCGTTGATCATCTTGATCAAGATGATGATGATGATGATGATGATGAATCTTTCCATTCCTTTTCTAATTCCCCTTTGCGGATTTCCAATGCTGAAACCTCGGATTCCACTAATTGTTCTAAACCCATTTCACCACCACCACCGCCGCCACCTCCGCCGCCGCCGCCGCCTCCGGCGGCGGCGGTCCCTTTTCTGTCGAAAACGAAATGTAATAACTCTTTGAAGCCGAATTTATCCCAAAGTAGTTTTCCGGTGGCCGGAGTTCCTCCGCCGCCATGCCCGCCTCCGCGTCCGAAACCTCTAGACGAGGGGCCGCCGCCCCCTCCTCCTTCTCTGCTCCGGCAACAAATGCCGCTGGGGAAAGACGGGTCGCCGTTGCCGAAGCTTAAACCGCTCCACTGGGACAAAGTTAGAGCTGCACCGAACCGTTCGACGGTGTGGGACAAGCTGCGGTCGAGCTCGTTCGAGTAAGAAATCCATATTTAATTTATTACGGCATATATAATAGTTCTTTCGATTTTAATATAATATTGGGATCATGTTTTTTTATTACAGATTCGATGAGGAAATGATAGAGTCCCTTTTCGGTTACAATCTCCAAAACAATCTTACGAAAAACGACGAATCGAAGAGCAAAACTCCGTCGCCGAGCAAGCACGTACTCGAGACTAAGAGACTGCACAACATCACAATCCTCTCCAAAGCGTTGAGTGTGACCGCAGAACAAGTATGCGTTGCATTAATCCAAGGTAGTTACTAATTAATTTCAAATTCGCGGCAATTAATAATTAGTCCCGTTTTTTCGTTCACCATCGTATCGTTGTTGATCGTTTTATCATAATTAGGGGACGGCTTGTCGTTGCAAGATTTAGAAGCACTCTCGAAAATGGTCCCCACCAAGGATGAAGAAGCCAAGCTCTCAAACTACAAAGGAGACGTATTCGAATTGGGCTCTGCCGAGAAATTAGTTAAGGCAATGCTCAAGATACCCTTTGCGTTTTCAAGAATCGAAGCCATGCTTTATAGGGAAACTTTCGAAGACGAGGTTCTTCATCTTGCGAAATCATTCGCAATCCTAGAGGTAGTAAAACATCTCGTAGAATACCCCTTCAATTCTATATATTTCCATTGGCAATTTACGAAAATGCCCTTGTTGTAATTAGGAGGCGTGCAAGGAGCTAAGATCGAGCCGACTCTTCCTAAAACTACTCGAGGCGGTGCTCAAAACGGGGAACCGAATGAACATCGGCACAATTAGAGGAGGGGCGAAAGCTTTCAAACTCGATGCCCTTCTTAAGCTAGCCGATGTGAAGGGCACGGATGGTAAAACGACACTCTTACATTTCGTGGTGCAAGAAATCATTCGTTCGGAGGGGTTAAGAGTGTCCGAGAGCATAATGGGAAAGATCCATCAAATAAGCAACAAGAACACTATAAACATTGAAGACAAAGACGAGTACTACAAGAAAATGGGATTGGATCTCGTCTCCGGATTAACCACCGAGCTATGCAACGCGAAGAAAACGGCAACTATAGATTTGGATGTGCTCGCGACCTCGGTGACGAATTTATCCGACAACATGCGTAAATTGCAAAATCTCGTCGAGAGGGATATGGTTGTGGAGGAGAATAAGGGCGGTTTCGTAATTTCGATGAGGACGTTCTTGAAATACGCGGAGACGAAGGTGAAGGAGCTGAGGGAGGACGAGGGTCGAGTGCTGGTGCACGTTAGAGAGATTACGGAGTATTTTCACGGAGACGTGAGCAAAGAGGAATCGAACCCGCTACGAATATTTGTGATTGTGAGAGATTTTTTGAGCATGTTGGATAATGTGTGCAAAGAGCTTAGGAGCTTGAAAGGGCCACGTAGCCCTAATCCTTTAGCACCATTCAGATAGATTATATGTTTAGATTGGTGTAATTGGTTTCATTTGTTTATAAGTTTGTTTTTATCTCTGCTTCATCTAGCTACCACGGTTGATGATGATATATATAATGTAATTTCAAATTTTTTTTTCAAAAAAAAAAAAAGGAAAAAAAAAGATTTTCTTGTAATGAAATATGGGCAAAATATGGACACACTTGAGGTATGACCAAATTACGAAAACACCCCTCTTGTTTGGGTAATTACAGCCACCTCGCTGCCTTTTAAATATTTTTACATAAAATTTATGTAATTCGATTATTTACCCAACTAAATCGTATATTCAATTTGGTAAACGGTATGAAATGTTGGCTTACCGAAATTTCGGTTTGGTTTTTCTGATTTAACATCCCTGATTTACCTCTGGAGGGGTATTTTCGTAAGATAATACATAATTGAGGGTGACTGTAATTACCCATACATGAGGGGGTTTTCGTAATTTGACCATAATTCAAGGGTGGCGTAATTTGCACTATAAAATATTGGTTAAAAGCATCTTGAAGATATGAATGACATCATCATCATTTGACTTTAGATGTTAGAAACAGCTGAAATAAGTACATTATATGTTCTTGCAGAGGTAAAAGATATATAGAAGACAAGATTCTGCAGAAGCAGTTTATTTGTAGGATAATAATACAGTATTAATAAACAATTAAACATAGTTAATAAAACTTTTGATGGTCCTTATTTAATGGTGTCAGATTTATTGATTATTCAAAGAATTTGACTTTCCAATGCACATTTATGAGTTTGCTGCTATAAAAGCTTGAATCACTCGGTTAAGAAAACTAACAACCTGCCCTCTAAATTTTATATTGGGGTTATTATACATACACCCCTAGCCACCAAATAAACTAGGCATAAATCAAAATCTAAATCATCCTTTGATATTCTCCCCTGGAGAAGCGAAATTACTATACTACTCTTATATGCAATTTTCGGCCAAACTGCATTCAGCATTTCTGATCCTCCTATATCATTTTTCGCTGATTTATTTATTATTATTATCAATTTTTTTTTTAACAATAAACCTGTTTGTTAAATTTTATATATATATATATATATTAATTTTTTTTAATTTAATTTTTTTTTTTTTTTTAATTTTCAAAACAATATGTTTACTGTACTGAAAATAACAACTTGTAACTACAGTATCTATAGCAATTCATAGTTATGTTCATTTTTCTACCCCATATTTTTTGTCAATCAGTTGTATACATACACGAATGTTGGCTTATACAAAAGAAATTCATAAACACCAACAAAAATTTACAAATTTCAATATTTTATTATAAATCACCTAAGAACCAATAAAATACAAATCGAAAATACACAAATATATGCATATGTAACTACATTTTACTATATGTATAGTAATGTATACAGTCTGCAGAAAACTATAACTGTGAAGCATATATAACTTCAACCAAATTTTTTTACACCTTCAAGGAGAGGATCAATGGCTTCCATTACGCTGCAATTGCAAAATCAAAAAAAAAATTACTTTAGTACAAATCAACAAAATTTGAAGAAACATCAAAACACTCAAAAATCAAAAAAATACTAAGAGATCGAGAGATATAGAGAGAGGTTATTGTTGGGAAATGCTACAGATTTTAAATCAAATAGACAGTGACTCCTCACCCCCTCGCCTCCTACCAAAACCCTAGCCGCCGCTAATAACCACCCACGGTTCCGTGCGCCCACAAATGTAAAAAATTATAGGAATAAATCTGAAAACATAAAAATAAACAAAATTACCATCAAAATATAGATCTCGACGAGAGGAATCCAACGGTGGGTAGCCCGTCAAATTTCGACTGGTGGAACATAAAATACACCTCCGGCAAGACCACCGTCGTCGAATGAAAAAAAATTGCAGAAACAGATCAGCGCTCCAAACTGAATGAAATCACCACCAAAACGAAGAGCTCGACGAGAGGAATCCAACGGTAGGTAAACCATCGAATTCCGACCACCGGAGAGAGAGTTATGACTCCGGGAAGCAATTTCGCCGGTTGGAGGATTGTGGGGGCGGGATTTTGAATCTGGGAGAGGAAGAGAGAGACGATTGTAATGGCTAGGGTTTAAAACTGATTTTAAAAGGGTATTATAGGGACTTCAGGGTGGCCCAGGAGGTATGTTAAAATATTTTCGAAATGAGTGTAATCCACTTGTTAGTTAGTTCTATATAATTTGGAAATGATGAGGACTACAAAATAATCCCTTTTTTATATTTTGTAAAAATATTACATTTAGCTCCCTAACAATAAAAATTCTTACAATTACGCCATGTTAGTTATGAGGGTAAAATTGAAATTAAAAAAAATCTTGTAATATAAGATATTCTTATATTATTAGCCCCGTTTAAATGTAATCATACAAATAAGAGGGAATTTTAGTAATTTAACTTCACCTCAAGTGATGTTCCTAATTTAACTAGGAATTTATTAAGTTCTTATCTTAGAAACTAAACTTATAAAATTTCTTTTTTTTTTCTTTAACAATTGGACGTACTACTTGTTATAGACTTTCAAATATTTCATGAAATGCTTGTAGAGTTTGTAAGCTCTTCTACTAATTTTGGCTTAATGCACCCTCGAAAATAATTTATGGCACTTTACACCCTCAAAAAATGTTTAGTCGTTGAAATTGCACCCTACTTTATTTTTCG